TTTTTTTATCTTTTAACTTCAGCTCAAATTTTTAGAATTACACTGAAAAAAATAATTTTTGAATGGATTTTACGGCAATGAGTAAATTTGTAAAAAGTAACACTTCAAAGTGAAAAATAAAAGAAGAGTTAAAATTGAGGTTTGAAATAAAATTTGCATCCTAGGAAGGAAAAAGATCAGAATTGATTGAAATAGTGAATATAGATCAGATAGGTTGTGATTACGATTTTATATCAAATGATATCAATTACATGAAAAGCTTAATAATTAGTAATCATTGTTGCAACAATCACAAATAACAGTACTTGTCAAAATTACTGATAATGACATTCTCGGAATTATAACAAATGATATTCTCGAGATTAAAGCTTGCAAAAGAAATTTACCCATTCAAACGAGTAAATGATTATATGATCAAATGCATCCATGCTATCCCATTAACTTGAAAAATTTATTGAGCAAAATTATTTTTGACAATTTTATAAGCTGTAAGATATTACAGACAGTTTTTTTTTTTGTACTTTTCTCAACGCAAAATTCTCATTTAAAAATTGATAATTTAAAATTTACGCATATACGCATCTGCATAAAACTTGAAGATTATCATTAGCAGAGGAGATGTGAGTTAAAATGAGAATTAACAAAGTGAAAGGTAACAAATGTTATTTGTTCAAAAACCTTGCAATTTAGTGAAATAACTAATGAAATGCTAAAGTAACCTAATAGATAAGTTCGATTATATGTCGAGATCAAAAAAAAAAAAGGAAGAAAAGAAAAGTTTAGAAATATGCATTTAATAATGAAAAAGATCCGATACTGTTAATGCGACATTCACATTTAACATATTTATTCACTCTTTCTTTTGATATTCTCAACAAATATTAAATTCTATTAATTAACATCATTTCATTATCAAATTTTGATGGAATTTTTTTTTTTGTAAATTTTTTTCACTAATTAATTTCCTAATCGAATAAGTGTGTGGGTGGAATATGGAAGTAAGCAAGAATTTCAACGTGGAAACGAAAATGAAAAACGAAAGCAAATTTC